AAAAATTAGGAAAAAGTAAAGGGGTAAGGTGTTGCAAGACTCCCAAATCACTATATTAAGACAAACGAATTCGACTTTATTAGTTGATGCGATTACAATACAATCGGATAGGGTAGCGAGGGGGTGCACAAAACTGCAAGGGAGATCTTAGGGGGGATTGACTTTAATTCCTTAAAAATTTTCTTTTGTTAAAATAATTAAGAAGTGAAGCGAATATTTCTTTAGTGAGGGGAGAGGGGTGAGAGAAAAAAATTCGACTGGCAGTGTGGAGGGGGTCGGCATGACCCTATACAACCAATGTAACTAGATACCTAACAGGACAAACAGGAGTTAAAATGTACAGTAACTGAAAACAAGAAACTTAAGGCATGAAAATGTTCAAGGATAACACGAGGGACATAACAGAAGAAGAATTGAAAATTTTGACAAAATTTATAGGCGGATTTGAAACTGGTATCTAATATGGTAAAAAAATTTCAACTAGTAGAAGATTAACCACTTTAGTAGTGACGAACAGCTTGAGCTGAATTTTTTTTCCGTTGACTCTTTAAAACTATCACAAGTCTGGTTCCTCATTCAAGCACAAAAACAAAATAACATTCTTAGCTCGGGAGTATTTATTTCCTTTACACCTTCAAGCTCCGTGATCCCTGCTTGACAGCATTCACAAAATTTATTCTGAATTCGATTTTTTAGACAGATTTACAAAACATTTTAAATAGTAATTTTTGCATTTATTATACAAAAAATAACATAGGTCATGTAAACTTATATATCAATATGTACATGTAAATTTCAAAATGTGGTGATAGTCAGAATCTTTTACTGATCATGATAAAGCAGTACCCTTACTTTAAAGCTGTAATGTGTTGTGTTATTAATGTGTATCTAAGTAAAGAAATACGTTATCAATTATTGGTTGATAATATTTTCTACTAGTAAAAAAAGATAAACGAGTTTTTGATGCAATAATGTAATAACGTAATTACTGATAATGTAGTAATGAAATACTTGCTTGAGGAGCGGCGTTGGCTCAGTGGTAAGCTTACTGTTCTTGGGGTCATGGGTTCGATTTCCGGTGAATGCAGATTTCCTCGAAAACTGTTTTCATCGGGAAAAGTTCCTATGTAACCCCGGCTGTTTCGGGGCAGGTTTTTCCGTGAAATTTTCCTTCAGAGTTCTTCAGAAACAGTGTTAGGGCTATTGGTATGAATTATCGGATCTGGTGCGCTAGACAGGGATCACCGACCTTACCAGCGAGAAGTGGTCCCTGAAACATGTGGCTTCTCCACGGATACTCACTAGCCTAGATTCGATAATTACTATAATAAGCAGTTTAAATTTGTAGGGACAGAAAAAAAATTTATAGAAAAAAAGTTGACATCGATTTATTATACACTCAAAGTAGTAAAATTTTGAAAAATTACTGACATATTCGTAATCAAAGACATGAAAAACTATAGAATTTATATGCATTATTAATATTGTAGAAATATTAAAACTTTTGTATAATTGTAATGGTCTTGTGATATAAAAGTTATGTTATTCTTAAATTTTTTTTAATAATTTTGTTCCCATAAACCGAAAATAAAATTTTGTTGATATACAACACCATCCGAGAAAAATTGGAATTCTTTATTTCCGTGGTAATTTCATCACATAATTTTACAAAACTGTATAGATTGTCTAAACGGACCGTGAAGAAATGAATTAATTACTCAGGACCACAAAAAAAGTCAAAATAATTCTATTGAACCTAGCTGACTCTATGATTTTCAGGTCACTGAAACCAAACCCGGTGTCATCGTTGCCCTAGCACGTCGAAATTTTGTGAAGTCTAATCTCAAAACGTCGAAAAATCGAATAATGTAAGTTTAACGACAAAATTCTGTAAATTCATGCGACCCATAGCCCTTTTGACCAAAGATTTTTAGCAGACTAGCCTTCATACACAAGGAAACAACATTGAAATCACTTCCTGAACCATCAAACCTCACCCAACCTAACCTCAAACCTCTAAGAATTCAGTAACTTAAGCTTTTTAACAAGTTTTCGGAAAGCTTTAAACATCAGTTTAGATATAGGATTACTATATGATACTCTAAAGACCAAGAACCTAACACAAAGCCCCCAAAAATGTAATAAGGTAAGTTTTTCGACGAAATTCCGTAAATTTATGCAACTTATGGCCCCTACAATAAAAGATTTTCAACAGATTAGCCTTAATACAGAAGAACTGCTTATAATGTTATAATATGGCTAAAAAAGGTTTCGGTTTTAGGGCTGCTGTCTCAAAGATCTTTGGTTTAAAGTTCCATGGACTGCATAAGTTTATAAAATTCTGTTAAAAAGTTTGCGTTATTGGATATTTAAAGTTAAAAGTTAGTTTTTCAGGTCTTCCGTCGCTCAAAGAACAGTTGTGAAACAGTTGGTTTGTCTTTAAAAGCTAGTCTGTTAAACATCTTTAGTGATAGTTGCCATGGGTTACGTAAGTTAACAAAGTTACGTAGGAAAACTTACGTGATTTGATGTTTAGGGGTGTGAGGTTAGGTTATTTGAGCTTTGGTGTATCAGAAAGTGATCATATGATTTTTAGATTACGTTAACAGCTACTTTGTTAAAGATCCTAAGTTATATGACTAATGGGTGCATGAATTTGTAGAATTTTGTAAAAAAGCTCAAGTTACTGTATTTTTGGTGGTTTGAGGTTAGGTTGTGCGAGTATTGATGGTTCAGAAAGCAATTTGTACGATGTTGGCTTCTCTACAAAGGCTACTCTGCTGAAAATTTTTTGTTAGACGGGCTATGGGTTGCATAAATTTACGGAGTTTTGTCGAATAACTTACGTTTTTACATTATTGAGGAGGATAGAAATTAGCTTACTTGAACTTTAGTGTATCAAAAAGTGATCCTATGGATGTTAGCTTATGTTTAAAGCTACTTTGTTTATGATCTTTGGTTATAGAATCAATAAGAATAAAAGTTTTCTTTGGTAAGAAGGGCCATGGATTGCATTAATTTACAAAATTTTGTCGAAAAACTTACATTATTTGATTTTTCAAGGTTTTGAGGTCAGATTTCACAATATCTCGAAGTGCTGGGGTAATTCTGATACCAAATTCGGTTTCAACAGCCTGATAAACATAGAGTCAGCTAGGTTTGATAAAAATATCCTGACTTTTTTTTGTAGTCCTGTGTTATAGATAAGTGAAAAAAAAGCCGTACGATACATCAAGATTTATTTGAACAACATAGAAAGTAAAGAAATCACAAGCTTATAATTAGTTATCATTACTGTTGGTTAGTATCATTATATTAATTTATTAATTAATACAAAAAGTGTACACAAGCTAAATAGTTACTATCATTACGATCCTTATTCGATCTATTTTGTATACGATGGCTTTATACACTAAAGCTGGTAGAAGCTACGCCCTTGTAAGGCCACAACTTATATTTCTTTTCATATGGTCTGATCCTTCTATTCTAGTCTCATTAGACAGTAGTATGTACTTTAGAAGCAGTTATAAAAACTCTATACAAAACAGAATTCTTATTTGGAAGGACGTTTAGTAAAAGTAGATATTGGGTATTCTGCAAGGTGTCAATATAGCTCTTGTTTTGTGCTGAGTAAGTCTATTACACGCATTTAAGTACTCATAAAAATAATAAGTTGAGATCATGAAATCACTTAATGCCTTTGTTTTACGATGGTTATATTGTCAAGTGCTATAACAAGTAAGGAAATCTAAAGGGTCTTTTGTGAAAAAAAAATTTTTTAGTCGATTAAGATAGTAGTGCTTTAATGACTTATTGATTTTAGATGGCTTTCAGTATTGGAACATACAAATAAAAAAGGAAATTAGAAAACTTTTTATATTTACATAGAAAAAATAGATACTTTACGACTTTCCTTCTTATTTTCAAAAAATTTTTGTCCTAAACAAAGTGTATCTACAACTTTAATGAAATTAGAAAAAATTTTAAACTTCGATTTTAATTCACAGACTGCTTTCTGTTTTGTGGTGTTTGCATTTCTACTATTAAATAAGAAATTTTTTTTTTAATGTTTTTTTAAATGCAGCCGTTAAAGTCACCGACCATACTACTTATTCACAAGTACGCTACGATACCATCATAATACCTAAACATTTGTAATGTCAATATTTAAATACAAAAATATAACCTAATTTTTACAGAGATTGCTTTTCAACTGGATAATATGGATAACAACAGTATATCCTTTAATCACGGACTTAATCGCCACAGAAAAAAAAACTTAGTGTAGTGTGTTTGATCCCTACCCCAGAGAGGCTATTTTATTCATTTTTACTTATTTCATAAAAATTTTAAGAAAATTAGGGTCTATTTTGATTTTCAATTTTAAGTATACTTGCTATTGAAAAGTGCATAGTTAATTTTAGGAGCACCTACATAAAAGTGCTACTATCTTTAAATGTACCAATTAATACGATAAGCAATGTATAAGTATTGCTTGTCTACCTCGTAGTCACATTTAATTTTTAATTTATCAACAAGTATCAGAATCATCTTTCAACTTAGCGATAATGTAAGTCAAGTGTAAGTAAATAAATATTGCACAATTGTCATCGATAATTAAATTATTAAACTTATGTTGATTTTTTGTTTTCTGCAAGACAGGAAGTTTCATTAGGGTTAGAAATCATTTTTACTTTCATTTTAGTTTGGAAATTTTAAACTAAGGAAAAAATGAATAAATTTAATTACTCTTTGAGAATTTCGTAACTTTTATTAAGGATAAAACTAATTGTTCTATATACTTAAACGTGTTTCCCTGCTTCTAAATGAAGATTGACCAACATGTTAATTGTTAAAAAATTCGGTATGATTGAGTCGAAACTACAATCACGGATAAGATAGTATGTAGGATAGTACAAATTATTATTGCGACATTTTACTTCTTACCAAAGTAAATGTTTGTGCGTGTATTGAAAATATACAAAATATATTGAACTTACATTCTTCTTAACATATTCTCTTGTTTCTACTGGAAAAGCAAGCCATCTTTGTTGATACTGTAGTTTTAAATTTGAATCTTTAGACGTCAACTGATTTTTCAACTGGAGACCTGCTGCCATTCTAACAACAGTACTAGCAGCAGCAGTAACGAGAACTTCACTAAGTTTTTTGATAAATTCATGCTGAAACATTAAACAATTTTTAATTGATAAAATATGATGGATAAGTTTCCAAGTACAAAGACAGAATTAATATATTCAATATATTTAAAAAAGCCTGTATTTTCTCACGGATAACTATACGTATCGTTATCAAGATGCAAAACAAAAGAGGAATGTTTATGCAAATTAAACGTGAAAATCATTTGAAATTAGAAAATGTTGTTTGGAAACAAATTTTTGATTAAGAGGAAGTAGTTTTTGAAAAAAAAAAAAAAAAATTAAGGAATTGAAAGCTATATCACATAAATTAAAACAACATTATTTAGTGGTAGCAAATGACATGTTTATATTTTATTATGTTAAAATTTTTTTGTAAATCATTAAAGTTGAAATTTTGATTCAGGATAACTATTTATAACATTTGTCTAAATAAGATTATTCTTTGAATGTTCTTTAGCAAATTTGGATAGAAATTTTTTGATCCAATCTTTTTGTCATTAAATTTCCTATAAAGTAGACACTTTCGTCAATTTATTACTAATTGTTTGTAACATGTTAATGGCAAAAAGGTGCGAAAAAAACTTTTATACCGAAAAACTTTGGATTGACATGAAAAAAACTGTCAAGTTAATTTTAACATATCCGTTCTAAAATGTAGATATTAAGTAGCATATAGTAAAAATATCCACTTGTAAAATTGCAAAATAATTGATAATTTTTTTTTTCATAAATTTTTGAAAGTAAAACTTTGAAGTGGTATTACAAACTTTACAGTAGGTTTATCGACATTTTNCGCTTCGTTAAAAACATTGTATTTGATGTTAGTAATAATAACAAAATAAGAAAGAATTGATTTTTGTGAGTTTTGACGTTTTGCCTGCAATAAATGTATTTTGCAACTTAAACAATTGTGAATACCTCAATTAGTTTTGCATTTTTTTTTCTCAACAAACGTCATTGCATTTGTCATAAAAAAACACGAGTTCAATAAAAAGAATGCTCTAGCTCACTCTAAGGCCGAAATACAAGAAATTGATGTTTTTTGCAATAACGGACTAATAATTGAATTTTTTATTAAAAAAAAATTTGTGTATTATCTTCATATATTTCTGCATCATACTGCCGAGCCACTTCATCAATTTTATTGAAAGGGAAGCTCAATAAAAATCAAGAAAGTAACATTTTAACAGCTGGGGCAGCTCAGTGCTCTTATCTGTACCCCTATCTTACGACTAATTAGCCGAACGGTTGCAGTGCTTATTTGTCAAAACACGGGCTACAGCTGGCGATTGAGTTTCAATAAGTTGTTTTACATAATTATACAGTCACAAACGCAGTTTTCAACATTGAACATGCTTAATTAACAAATCTTTACTTATTATATCTTCATTGTATTACAAAAAAAAAAATTGATCCATTGAAATAAAGATTTTTATTCTTCTTATACAGTAGTTACTGAAAAGTACAGTTGGCAATTTTTTTTTCATACACTTTTCTAAACAATCTTTTACTTCAGTTAGGCTCAAATAGTTTAATTTGTACAAAAATAAGTAAATACTAGTCAGGAAAAAAATTCTTCAATATTGAGCACCTTCAAGTTTTAAATAATGAAGACAGCTGTATATACGACGATTCATCAGAATTACTTCCAACCCCGCACAAATTTGATACTGATGTAACGTAAAAGTTTGTGTAAGTTGCACAATACAATTTTTGCTGGTAAAACGTCAAAATTCACAAAAATTAATTTTTCTTCCTTTGTTGTTATAGCTAATTTCAAATAAAATGTTTTTATCAAAGCGAAATGTCGATAAACCGACCGTGAAGTTTGTAATACCACTTTAAAGTTTTATTTAGGTTCAATGGACTTCTTGTGCTTTTCCTGATTGGATGCGCACCAGCTACAAACCTTATTTTTCCTACTGAAGGTGCACTAAATATCTAAATGTTAAAAAAACGCCAAAAGTAGGAAATGGTAGTTATCGTACCTGGTGGCGCATGTCGCCAGGGCAAGCACCAGGCCCAAGATACCTATAAAACAGAGCCTGAGGGACTCCTTGTACTTGCCCTGGATGGATGCGCACTAGGTGCAATCCTCAAAAGCGCCCAAGGTAGGAATTCTAACTTCAAAACAGCACCTTCGCCGCTTGATTTTGGGTTCTCAGACGGAAAAATAGTATACGAAACTCGTTCGAAAAGGCTTCTTTACGAACCTCGTTACAGCCCTCGCCTTCGGCTCGTGTCGTAAACCTCTCGGTACGTAAATCGAAGCCTTTGCAAACTCGTACGCAATGTACTATTTCATCATACGCTGACGGGAAATTCACATTTTTGTCCTGATTTCAGGCTGGGAAATTATACATTTCTGACCAGAACGGTAATCTTTTTGTTGTGCACTAAAGTACTGTGCAGCTCTCTCCTAGTTACTTTCTTATGTCAGTCGTCAGATACAAAAGTGTATATAGCTATAGTCGATAATGTACTGCACTCAGCTGACAAAAATCATAACATTTGGATCATAACCTCAATACTTATGCAATGCAGATGTGCAGATTTCAGAGTGTAACATTAATAATTTTAGCAAGTGAGTAGTGATATACTCAACAATTAAAAATAATCGAGTACTCAGTCTCTATACGTCTGAGTACTGAAAGCTATTCTGTGAGTACATGAATAGAACTTATGTATTTGGTAACATACCTATATGTCTGTTTTGTTTCCAAGTAGATTTTTCACGTAAGAGAACGACCGTAACAGGAACATAACATACTAATATAATTCCCATAGTACCGATATAAAAAATTTCAACATAAATTTTGTGTGTAATTAAATTTTCTATGTAATTGAACGATTTCTACGAGCGTGGCTGCTGCATACAGTACCAGGGTCGCTATATATTGTTGCTTTCCATCTCTGTTGCTTTCCATCTCACTTGCTCTTTACTTCCCTAGAGTCCCTAGATCAACAAACGCATGACTGTTCACAATGAACGACGCAACGACTGCGTGTTGATTTCAATTCCGGTTATTCACGAACCCAACTAAGTCCTTTTTTAGATTTCCTAAAAGTAGTCATGATAAAGTTACCTTTTTTTTTCTTTTTTAAGAGATTTGTAATAATTCTTCCATTTTTTTTTTAAGCATTTTTTAACCAATAGTTTTCAATAATTGTAAACTATATCTTGTTCGAAAAAACGATTGTTCTCTACACTAGAGGCAAAACGAGGGCTTTAAGTACTTTTCATGCTTATGTCATGGGCCCTAAGTGGTACTTTTTTGCCTTCTGGGTGCAAAGTAATCCCGATTTTTTTAACACAGAAACTTTTTTTTTCATGATGTAAAAGCAGTAGAATAATTAAAATAAGATTAATATCTTTTTTTTACACTGTGTAGCTAATAGGTGTTTTCCATATTATTTTTGTGTGAAAAGTCGAACTTTCCACATTAATTTGATGAAAAGTGTGCGGAAAATATCATTTTCCACCCTCGGGTGGTTTTGGGAGGCTGGTACTTCCTCGGGCGAAAAAGCAGTTTTCCGGAACTCGTTCGAAAAGTCTCCTTTACGAACCTCGTTACGGCCCTCGCCTTCGGCTCGGGCCGCAAACCTCTCGGTTCGCAAACAGAGACTTTTCAAACTCGTAGGAAAACTACTATTTTTTTAATCATAGCAATTTTAAACAAGCAATAACTAGTCAATCATTACACATACAAAGATGTGAAATCTAATGAAAATAACTAGTAGAGTAGGTCTTTTTACTTTTTAAAATGAGGTAAATATGAATCAGTTAATTTTGAATGTAATGTAATCAGACAGTTAAACGAGCATATTTGCTAACACAGACAAATAAAATATAAGTTCCAGTTATTCAAAACAATATATTTGTATAAAGCCATATTTAACCATGTATTAAATTTTCGAAAAAAATTTGTCATTTTGATGAAATTGATTTTTTTGATGGTTTTTAAAAAATGAGAATGGTTTTTTTTTTAGAATAATCACTTTATTTGTTTGGACGTCGGAAAGGGGGCTTTGCTCCCCATACCCCATTACCAGAGGCTTTGCCCCCTGGACCCCGCACAACATTTCTTGCGAATCATACATTTACCACCTTAGTTTGAGTACATACAACTGTAAATAATGGTAAAAAATTCATTACACTTATTTTTTACAAAGCATAAACCTCATATATATGTGAATAATACAAGGTGCATAAGCCTTTAACGTGTTCTTTTCATTAATTACTTCAAAATTTATATCAATTATTGTCGCACATATTACGACAAATTTTGAACGTCACTCGTGCGGACGTTTTCCCGAACTATGTGATTGCACTCGATATTGATGCCAGTAATTCGTACCACAAACTCGTGTCACAAAATTGCGTGATTGACTGGCACTCATTCTCGTCAACTTTGACTACTAGTATGCATTAATCTCAACTTTCGGTTTCTCTTGATTAAAGTACAAAAAAAAATTGTGCATATAAGTATCATATATTATACTTCAAGTTTCACATGCTTTAATTAAATCTCACTTTGCACTCTTAAGAAGAAAAAATTATACGCCAATCGAGCGCAAGACTTTGCACCCTTGTGCGAACTTTGCGCCTTTCGACTAAGTGGGCCCTAGGGCGCAAAGTACTTTTCTGTCCATAGGCCTAAAGTAGTTGGCGGGCGCAAAGTTAGCCTGTGGGCGCAAAGTGCGACTTTGTGCGATCGTGGCGTATTGTACTATTAAATGCTCTGAGAGTAAGTTATGATATATATTTTAGAAACTTTGTAGAGAATATCGAACGGAAATTTCCGTCGGGAAAGTATGTTTTAAAGAATTATATCTTTAAAAACAAAAAAGACTTTTTCCGCACTCGGGTGATTTTAGGAGGCTGGTACTTCCTCGGGCGAAAAAGCAGTTTTCCAGAACTCGTTCGAAAAGTCTCCTTTACGAACCTCGTTACGTCCCTCGCCTTCGGCTCGGGCCGCAAACCTCTCGGTTCGCAAACAGAGACTTTTCAAACTCGTAGG